CAGCCATAGAGTATCTGCATCTTGTGTGCCTGGCTGCAGCCGACTCCCATCAGGGAACGGAACCAGAGTTGGGATGTCTTTAGTAAATTCAGCACAAGAAACACCATTCCTTTCTAATGACTTGTATTTCCATGCAGATGAAAATCTTTAAAAATGCAACTATTTGTGGTACTGTAAAATGCATATGTGGTACCTGTGGGCCTAGAAGCTATACGAGACAGCAACATATAGGAACTAAAAGCAGAATGCAAAAAAAAATTGACATTTGGAGGCTTATGTCCAGTAGAGCTCCTTGTGACGTTAGGAGGACTGCTCCCAGGCTTCAGAGTTTTCACATCTGGGCTCCTTTGGGTCACTTGTCTGCCTTTGTTTTGGACAGAAAGCCTTTATATTTGTGTGTGTGTGCGCACATATATATCACATATATTCTCATGTATTTATGTATATATAAAAACCAAATCTGTAAACTACTTTCTTTTTTTTCCCTCTTAGATTACTCCTTGACTAGTGCAGACCTGTCTGCCCTGCAGGGATTTAACTCCCCAGGAATGCTGTCCTTAGGGCAGGTCTCTGCCTGGCAGCAGCACCATCTCGGTCCAGCAGCCCTCAGCTCTCTCGTGTAAGTACCTCTGGTAACGGTGCTGTGCTGCACCCCTCGGGAACTTCTGCCTTCAAGCTGGATAATCTGCACAGGGGAATATTTCGCACAAGGCCAGGTTAATTTCATGTCTGCTGGTGATGGTGCATTGCCTTTAAAGTTTGTTCCTTAGCTGCAAAAGCTTTCCTGTTCAGTGCTGGTTGTCTCTTTTGTCAGTTCCATCCTGCAGCTGGCAAGCTGTGTCCCTGCAGGCCCAGCTTCTCTCAGAGGAGTTGCCTGCGTGATGAACTTAGATAAATAGGAAATATTTCTGTTTGTTTTCAACTTCTGTAAATGCATTCAGACCTTTAATTAGTGCTTTTTTCAACTTTGTTTCTTAACTTCAGTAAGCTGCATTTATTTACATGCTAATTTTGAGAGTGTTGAACCGCAGGACCACACCATCACACTGACACATGAATTGTCACTTGTTTTTCCTTTTTTGTGTTTTCTTATTTCTGCCTTTTGGTTTTCTTTTTTGCAGTACCGGCAGCCAGCTATCTCAGGGTTCAAATTTATCCATTAACACCAACCAAAACATCAACATCAAATCTGAACCAATTTCACCTCCCCGGGACCGTGTAACTCCCTCTGGGTTCCCGCAGCAGCAGCCACAACCGCAGCAGCAGCAGCAACAGCAGCAGCAGCAACAGCACCGCCACAAGCAGCAACAGCAGCAGCCGCGGCAGGAGATGGGCCGCTCTCCTGTTGACAGCCTCAGCAGCTCCAGCAGCTCCTACGACGGCAGCGACCGGGAAGACCCGAGAAGCGATTTCCATTCACCCGTTGTGCTGGGAAGGCCGCCGAATTCAGAAGACAGAGAGAGTCCATCGGTAAAACGAATGAGGATGGACACGTGGGTGACATAAACTCCCAGTGTTGCCTCTTCAGTTTTGTGTTCTCAAAATGAACTGTCCTGACATATCTAAATTTATAAATAAGGACATGAAATAGTATATTTATATGTATATACATACATGCATATATATATCTTCACATGCATATATATGTGCTAGTGTGTGTAGCATACACAAAATCATCAGGCACTTACGACAAACTTCTTGTATAGCTGCAGATGTCCCATGGTAAAACGTAACAGAACAATCCTTTAGGTATTGATCTAGTCTGGCACTTACCTGGACTCGGTGTTTTCATGATAGAACCGGTTTTGCAGAGAACCGTTGTACCCGCATTATAACCCCACCACACTAGATTGCAGAAACCGAGAGGGCTCGCCTGTAGTAACGTCCCTGTGTGTTTTATTCAAGCTGTATGGTTACTTGTAGTTAAGAAATAATGCTTTGTAGCAGCAGAGCAGTAGAAAAGCAGGAAGAAGAAAGCAATACTGTACATAAAATGACCTTTATATTACCCAACCTGGCATGGGTCTCTATTGCAGAGGGTGCATGGAGAAGGGCTGACGCTATAAGAAATAAAAAAACAAAAACCCTGTTTTGCACGTGCAAAAGAAGTAGTGTATTGGGTCAAAGAAGTGATTTTTTTAATGAGTGAAAGAGAGACATAGAGAACTCGCATGAAATATTCAGAAAATATTAGCCTAGAAAATAGAACATTAACAAAATAAAATTAATATATTAAGTTATAATTGGAATATGTTTGACAAATTTGTTTTTACGTTCATACCTTTGAAAAATATAGAAACGGAGTTTAGCTCATGTATATTTTATATTAAAGAAAACAATACCCTAATGAATTGAAGACTATATATAAAGTTATATACAGTACTTTTGAACACATTCTGCTATGAATTATTTATATAAGCCAAAGCTGTATGTTGTAGCTTTTTTGTAGAGTATAGTTTTATCTTATTTTGACTTTCTAGTTTTTGCTTTCAAAGATGAAAAGGAAAAACTTGCAGGCGGAACCTTGGGGGAAAAATAAGCCATGAACACTTCTATGTAAATTTAAATTTGAGCCAAACTCTTTGTGTATATAGCATCCTAAATATATTATCACCTTTGGTGTAAGTACCTATGTATTGTACGTTCACCAGATTAAAAAGTATATTTTTGTGGATTGACGCCAACTTGAAAAAAGGCGAGGTCCTTATTAAGTAGAGTATTCACTGTTTAATATTTACTATTTTGTTAAATATACTGTACTTTCTTTGGATTTTAATTATTATTAATATTATTATCCAGATTTTTCAGAGGGTGTATAAAGGGGTTGTCCCCCTCACTGGTGGTGAATGTGTGCCGTTAAATTGTAATCTCTGTGCTGTATGGTTAAGCTTCATTATACATTTTATATATATGTATATAAATAGCAAAGTGGCAAAAAAAAAATCCGGTGTTAAGTTCATCCTGCATAAATATAAAAAATCTGTTACAACACATTTTAAGGCGTCATTTTAAAGCTGCCTCTTTTGAGGAGGAAAAAAAAAAATCAGTGCAAAAACTTGACCTAATTTCTCATGGTAGGGAAGTAACACATATCAGACGAGCACAAAAGGTTTTTTAAGTTGGTAAGTGGTTTGGGATGAAGCCTCAGAAATAAATTTGCTGCTTCCATGACATAGAGCGAGGAATCCAGAGGCCCATTGTGTCCTAACAGCTGGCGAGGGAAGATTTTTGTTTTGTACTTTGGTTGGGTAGCTTGATCGTATTTGCACAATGTGGCCGTGTGGTGACAAGGACAGCAGGGGCTGTCATCTCCTTGTGACTTCTGCGCCCCCACCCCGACCAACCCTGCACAGCGGGTAAAGGCGGCTTTGAGCAGCAAAGTCTCAGGAGCCGAAAACTCAGTGCCCCGGCTTGTACTGGCCTGGTCTGGGGGAGCCGATCTCATGCTGGGGATTGGTTTTGCCTTTTCACAGCCTGGTCTGCTCCCGGGTCCTGGCCGTGTGTCCATCCTCCTGCACGTGGGAAGGGTCCGAGTGTGCAGAGAACCAACCGTAGTAGATACCAGTAAATCTTACCGGTGGCAGTTCTAGCTCTGGGGAAGGATCTTCACTGCTGTTTTGTTACCCAAACACCTTTAAGAGTTATCCCTGATATTTATTAAATTTTTGCTTGGGCTTTAATTTTTTTTTTTTGGTAATTTAAAAAAAAAAAATCACTTGATACTGTAACTAACAAGTACAAGAGATGGAAATCCAAGTGGGACAGCTGTCTCCTCGGCTGCTTCCTTTAATGTGTGATTGAAGAACAATGTCAGGACATGCAGCTTCCCACCCCATCTCTTGTTGTCACGGTAACTTCAGCCAACGTGCAGGTTTCAGTTCCTTTCAGCCACTTACCTCTGGAAATTGCTCTCCAGTTATTGTCGTTAGTTACCGGTTTACAGCAGTGTAGGGGAAAATGAGACTCATTCTAATGGCAACTCTATTTCCGAAGTGACTGAATTCACTTACCGCTGCAGAGAACCTTTTACTGCTCTGAAAAGTTATGTGTTTGGTTTTTTTTTTTCATTATTTATATGAATACATATATGAACTTTGCTGTACATCGAGTGGGAGTTCTGCATTCACATTTACTGTCTATTTTCTTGTGTGCCTTATAAGATGGCTTTGCTGACTGTATCTCAATAGTCTTTATTTCTATGCAGGTTTTTAAACAGTACTGCTACTGTTTTCTTAAAGAAAAAAAGCAACATAAGGGTTAGAGTTTGTAATGAAATTGCACCAATGAATTAAAAAAAAATAATCGATTCTTAAGAGCTGCTAATGGGCCGGTTCACATGTTGCCCCAAACCCTCCACCAGATTCAGCAGAACAAGTCTTCATCGATGCCCCATGTCAGGGGGGAGAATAAACGGGAATCCTGATTTTTAATAACAGGTAACTAACTTTGGAGCATACTTTTTTAGGAATTGTAAAAATGTTTTATAAAAAAAAAAAACATAGCACAGATATTTCAACAGGTAAAAAAATTACTTTTTTAAATTACCTATACTGAAGGACATTGCAAGTGGATCCAATCTTAGTCTGAACCCATTCAAGTCTTTAAGATTTTTATTTTCTATTGTGACAAATCACCTCTCCATCTTCAAGCTCTCACTACAGTATTTTAAAATACGTTATCAGGGATTCATCAGAGAAAAACGCTTTAGCTTTTCGTTTCACTTAAAGGACACTAATGCATCAGAAACTTGCGAATTACTGTGCGCACAAGAAATACATAGTAAATAAGGAACATAATAACTCCTAACAATTGATCATGGGAAGAAGTTAAATTAGAATGTGAAAGAAAGACTTAACAAATGTAAACATTTAAATCTTAGTAGAAACTTTCTTCACTTTGCTGTGCAAGAGAACACTGCTTTGCTATATTTAAAATGGCTTTTTTAAAAGAGATTTATGTATTTGGTAAATGTTTGTAGTCAACAGTTCACAAGAAGCTGTTCACGGTTTAATGATGATAAGCCGTTTGGCGGCACAAGCTGGACTTTGTTGCCATCCTTGAGACGAATCTTTTAAGAAAAAAATAAGTTAATCTCAATTTTTTCCCTGAATGTGTTGTTTTTTCTTCAATATACAATAAATATTCTAGTGAACTTTTTATCAAATGGTTAAGAAAATGCTAGAGGTTGTTGTAAAATATTTGTATCCTGCATTCACTAAAGTAAAGATACTGGCTTTTACTGTGTACTCCAGCCTCTCTCGTGTTTGCAGAGCACCGGTTCATGTGTTCACCCTTGCCCCCCTCTCCGGCTATCTGAAGTGCTCTTCAGAGCCAGTTTCGAAGCACTGGTGCTGACCTGCAGCGCTGACTCCCTTTAACTCAGTGTGGATTGGGGATGTACCTGTACGTGTTGCTGTGTTCAAATTAAGAACTGGTGCTGTGGTGGCTGCACCATACAGCACTGCCCCACTCCCGTCGCTGCTCTGCAGCCGTGCCCACTGTTCTGCATCTGTGAAACAAACATTTGTGAGAGAAAAACCCCAGCAGAGCACGGCCTTACACTTCCCAGTGCCAGGTGGAGCTGTGGCAAGGCATCCCCCTGAGGAAGCGCTCAGCTGTTCAACAGCATAGTCTCATTTTAAGAGGGGGAAAAAAAAAGCACAGGCTGTCTGGGGTGGGTGTGCCCCTCGTGCTTTTAATTCATTTTGCTTTATTTAAAAAATGTAGTAAGACTTCCCCCCTCCCCAAAACAAAGAGAGATACATTTCCTTCACAGAAGAAAAAAAAAAAAACCACAAGTTTTTGCTCAGTATAAGATACTTACAGTCCTTGTGTACAAAATTAGTTTCTCTCAGGCTTCTCTGAGCATTTTTTTTTGTTTTTTTGACAGTTGCAGGAAACACAGGTAATTGTTATAACAGCACGTGGTTCTAATTGTTTGGTGTGGTGGTCCTCACATTACTGGAGAAGCCTCAACGCTGTTTCCACGCCCTGCAGACCCTGTTAGTCTGCTCTTCCTCAGGCCAGGAAGAGATAGTTGCATCCACACAACACCAGCCTGTACCGCAGCACTCCCCCAGATTCCCTGTCATGCACAGAGCTGTAAGCAAGTGTCCACTAAGGCTTTAAAAAAAAAAAACAAAAAAAAAGAAAAAAAACCCCAATCCCCCACCCAAACAAGCCTCCCCCATGCCCCCGTGGGCAGGGGCAGCATCACCAGTCGCAAGGCAGCACTGGTCTCACCTTGGGAAAGACGCTGCCCTCGCTCCTGCCCCAGCAGGTCACAGTGGCAGCAGAGCCGCTGGTGGGAGGCTCCTGCTGGCATGGCAAGAGCAGGAAGCCTGCAGGCAGCTGGGAAGCCAGCAAATGGGCCAGTGCAAGGCAAGGAGAGGAGGACAAAAAAAAACCCCACCAAAATTAAAAAAAAAAACAAAACAAACAGCTTTAGCCACGTGCCTGCCTGCCTGCCAGCTCTGCCCTCACCGTGAGGAACGACAGCAGCTGCCAGCTCAGCAGCAGGAGACAAGCAGCCAAGGAAAGGGCCAAGACCCCTCCTGAACCAGAGAGCACTGCTTTCAGCTGGCTGCTGCTCCCATCCTGCACTGCCACAGCCCTGGCCCACTTTCACACAACTGTGCTACAAAACAGCCTTAGTGTTTCGATCCAGGAGAGCATTTACCTGAGTTTCCTGAATTAACTCTCTGAGGCAAATTCTCTGCAGCAAAGCTCACCAAAGCCTCCTTTTCTGCTCACATGTAGCGTTCACTGACTCATCCTGAACAGCACCAACCTCAGGCTTACTGACATCTCAGCACACCACAGGCCTCCAAAGCTTCATTGCTCTTTCCTGCGCACTCAGGAACTTTGTAATGCAAACGTCAGCATTTCACCGAGATATTTAACATGCAGCAGCTTCATCACCCCCCTCCATAAAGGATTTCTACTTGCAGTGACTGTCTAAGGTAACGCAAGGCCTTCCTGCACCTTGCAAATTAAACGCAACTTGGTAATGCTCCCTCCCATGAAGACTACAAACAAAGAAACTCAATGCTGTGACTGAAATGGGGTGTTGGAGATGCACCATTACAGATTATTATTATTTTCTTTTAAAAAGTAATGCTGCCTGGACTTTCCCCTGCAGTAAATGAGCCTTTGAGAAGACATTCTACCTGCCACAGGCCTAAGGCGACTCTCACCTCCTCCTCCTCCTCCTCTTTGGCTGTCTGTGGTTATGCTGAAGGACTGGCTCTGGACAAGCCCTATCCTGGCAAATGCACGGATTCCGCAATGAGCTCTGCCTGCAGAGACACGGGATTTCAAGAGAAGTCTCCAACGGATTTCATCGAACAGAAGAGGTCTGGGCTCACCCTTCCCAATGGTGGACTCAAAGCATCCTAATGAACAGCTTAAACACTTGATTTCAGGATGAAAAGATGAGGTGCTGCCAGCATCCTCGTGCTGTGGCACACCTAGCTTAATGCACTAGAAGTCATAATTTTAGGGTTAAATATGCCAACATGGCCATGGTCTGCAAGAGATAAAAGTGACAGTTCAGAGAAGATGTGTCGCCACTTCTACTCTAAGCGAAAAGTGTTTTCTTAAAATGCAAACACGCCCAAATTTCCAATGGCATTAATACTGCACTCTTTACCTCAGCAGCAAAGGATTCACTTCCTAGACAAGGCATCAAGAAATACCTGAAACAACCACGATGAGTAAACTGCTACAAAATAGCCTTCCTCAACAGAGTTCACAAATGTTAAGTCAGCTGCCTGATGTCTTTGTAAGCAACAAAGCATCCTTATTTTTCCATAAAAACCACATCACCTCACTTTCAGGCAAGTTCAGGATTATACCATCAGCTACTTAAAAAAATAAAAATAATCTGTACTGTTATTCCCCGGAATGCACTTAGAGTCAGAGTCACCGGTGTATGGGCTTTAGTGCCAGGAGAAGAAAGGCTGTATTTGGCTGCCTCTCCATCTCAGGATTTTTTTTCTACAGCTGAGCTTTGTGGTAATTTCCCTTCCAATCCATCTGTTGAAATAGTTGAGGGTACTGTTGCGTTGGAGGTATGGGCCACCAGGCCTTGTGTTTTAAAATAGATGATATAAAATACTGGCAGGACAATTCCTATTAGGAGCATAATAAAAACTGCATTCCACCACTGGATTCCACAGTCTGCACCGTTACTGGTCTGCTTCTCTGACTCGGGCAGCGGCCTCTCCAGTCCTTCCACGCAATACTCTGTGTTTAGCTGGACCTCCGCCTGCACCGCGTCCTGAATGCTCCTGTCAATCCCCTTGAAGTAGTCGCTCAGGTGTCTGCTGTCAGCAGAGCTGCTATCATCATCATCATCCGACTCTGGTAAGTCCACAAGCATCAGGCCAGTCTGGGAGGGCGCCGTCGGGAGCGGCCTTAGCTCTCCACCGTTCTCCGTCAGCAGCCCGTGGGTCTTCACCGGGATCTTGATGGACTTCAGCGCGTACAAGTCCTGCTCCCGGATGAAGTTGTTGACACGTTTGATATCAGCGACCTACAGAATCCAACAAGGACATGAATATTAGTGTAGGACAACCCAGTACTGAGGCAGGAAGTAGCTACAAAACTAGTGTGCAAGCAGCAGCCAGACAATAAAAGCCAGCCCTGGCTGCAGGGGGTTAGTGTTTTGCAGAGATTTCCCACCTATTCCAGGGATGCTCCAGGTCCTGCAGGATAGAGACGGTTCCCAATTAAACCAGTCTACAACCTCCTCTAGTGCTCTTGGATCTCTCACATGCTGTATTTTGCTTAATACTGTTTTTCCTTCCTTTTGCTTTCTTTACCCTTCTCTCACTTTCTAATCTGAGTTAAGGCATGAAGAGTCTTTGTTAACAGATCCTTTTTACAACAGTTTTCATACCTTAAACAATCCATGAGTGTTTAAGGCGGGATGACAACATCAGCACGAGCAGGCAAAACCTTCCTCCTGCTCAGAAACTGATTGCAGAGTGAACAGAGCTCCATCTGCGGAGCACACCACGGTTTGGAAAGCCAGATCAGAGTCTGGAAGAGAGCAGGTGAGCATCTCTCCCACACACGAGGATCCTTTGCTCACATTCCCAAGCATCGCCCCTCTCCTGCATGACAGCAGCTCCGTACAGCTCATTTCTCCGCAGTCGGTAAAAGCTCCCACCACAGGTACAGCAATAACCTCCGGACCTCTGTGATCATCTTCAGTGGTTCCTCTCTAGGGTCTCCAGCTGTGACCAGTGCTCCTACCCAGCTCGGGGATGCAAACAACAGTAAGAATAGCAAGAACGAACAAACCACAAATACTGTGTAAGCCACAAGGACAGACAGTATCAAAGAAAGACAAAGGCAAGGCAGCGTTTATTTAATGTTACATAAAGAGAAGACAGCTTAACACAGCGTCCCCTCTCAACAACCTGAGGAGTACACGGACTTCTCAGCTGCCCAAAATCCTCTGTCAAGGAAAACGAACAGGACTGTCAATGTTTGCAAGGAGCTCTGCAAAGCAGCCAAGGAGACACCAAAGAACCTCAAGGAAAAAGTTGGAGGATACAAAACAAAGAAAACAGCAAGACCCCAAACTAAAGAGAAAGGCAACACAAACAGGTTAACCACATCCGGTGTACCATACGGAAGACACGAAGTACAAGGACTGCACTCTGAGTGAAAGCGTGGTTTGTTCTTTCAGCAGTCTCATACACAACTGTATGAACTGCATTCACTGCACACTCACAAGCTTCAGGCTACCAATGAAACTGGGGAACTAAAAGCAAGAAAGCACTTCACTTCCTAGGCAAATGTGTAAGTGCCATCAGTGCCAAAATTGTTCAGGGCAAAGATCTTTTAAAATACAACACATGAATACACCAGAAGGGAGCCCCAACAACTCCTCTGCCACTGCAACAAATGCTCAGGGCTACTCGCAGGCTGTGCAGCTGTCAGGAGCGGGGCGGTACCACCCCCCCAGCAGCACAGGAGGTGTGAGGGGAAGGCAGTCCCTGGCTGAGGGTTCCCACCCGGGTGAGGACCATGCACTGGGCTGCAGGAGAGAGGAGCTGCAGCGGCTCTGCGGGCAGAGCTGCCTCTCCCCGTGCATCTCCCCTCCAGCCCGTACGGGCTGTCAGGGAACCACATGTCAAGCTCATCTCCCGTGCAATCCCTGAAAGGTGGCAAGTCTGCTACATCACAGCTGAAGGGCAGAGATGAGATGAATGCCTGAATCTCACATTTACTCTGCAAAGCTTGAGAAATCTGAAAATGGGATGTTTAAACTAGATCCTAATCTGGTGCCCCTGCGGCAAAAGGAATTCTCAGCTGCTGGTTCAGACTCCTCACAGCTTGCCCCACTGCAACATCAGGACTTAAGCCCTGCAAAATTATTTCGTTATGAAATAACAATCTCACCCAAAGCCTCCTGAGGCAGTGCTTCAATTTTTGGTTTTGTTCCAATGAAAACAAATTATCGGGACAGTAAATATCCCCTGCAGTGTCTGCAATCAAACACTGCAGTGTTGTGCTAAGGGTCAAGGAACAAAAAGTGGATCAGCACTCACGCAGAAACCACAAACAAAGCTGATGGGAAGCATGCAAGAGCACTCACTGCACAAGCCATTTAGGCTTATTTTCTGTACTCTTTTTTTTTTGGCTGCATTGAACTCCTCTTGTCCCAGCTAAGAACAATGCCAAAAGCAGGCCAGGACTATAAATGGTCAAGAGTGAAAATGAGATTTTTGAAGTGCTTTGCCTCTCTGCCAAGTTATCGGTAGCACACACAACGCCATTTGTTGCACTGTGTTAATACCCCCACCCCAAGCAGGCCCTGACGATTCTGAAACCAATTACAAGTTCTCACTGATTTCAAGAAGCTCAGCCTGGATTTTTTTAAACACAGTTGCATATATTTGTCACTACAAATCTTCCTCACTGATGTCCCGGTAGCCTTTCAGGAGCTGCTCAATTGTGCAAATAAAACAAAATACATGAAAATGGATCAGTGCCAGTGTGTACATAGACAAACACAGAGATGTCCAATTACATCTCTGTACCTCTTCAATTTAACTGGAACAAGTCAGAAGTGTCCTTTCTGGAAGGGAGGGAAGCAGTAGGACAGGTTTCTTTTTCCTGTGGGAGGAGAACACTGACTACCTGGTCTCTCCCCATCAGCTCGCTTTCCCCACTGGACAAGCCCAGCAGGGCAGGCAGAGTAGACCTACCTGCAGCTGCTGGGGCTGAAAGGCTCTGGGAGCGGGGCAGCAGAGGAGGCACATGAACAGTTACAGCAGGGACAGGACTGAGTCCTCCTGAGGTACGGTACAGGGGGCATAGCAGGATTTCTCATGCCATAAACCAAAAGAGTTGTTCACAGTCTTTCTCCTTTGAGTTCACCAAACTGCTGTGATTCTGCGTAAGCGGCAATATCAACGCAATTGCTAGCGCTTAGAAACAAGCACATAGTCGTGACTGCAAAGCCAACTGCTGTAGCTCCGAGCTCTCATGCTCTACCGGTGCCAATCAAGGCCTATTCAAGTCCTACCAGACTCGCTTCTTCACACGCATCAGGCTCATCAGCAGAACCTAGAAGGGTTTCCTTTTTGTTTTGTTTTTGTTTCTAAGGGAATGGGAGGGGAGGAATTGTCGCAATTCCTCTAAGCTGTCTTGCTTCAGCTGCACCACACAGCTGCTGTGTTGTTAAGCAAGACAAACCGCAATAGTCTTGCAGCAGTTGAGCCAGTACTGTATCATTATCCCCATCCAGGTCACTGTCCAATTGTTTGCATCATGGAACTTTTTAATCACAGTCTAGCTTGCAGATAAAAGAGGCTCTAAAAATACAGCTTTAACTGCTAAACAATGGGGTACTTCTAATGTTCAGATCAGGTAATTAAAACTTTTCAACAGTTTTTTTGTTGAACAGAACAAAGAGAATTTATTTTGTAGTATGTTCCAACTCTAGAGAAAGCTCACCGTGCACACGCACTCCCCTCTGCCT